TTCAGAAAGAATTAATATATAGCATGCGGTCAAGGTACAATATCACCTTGGATTTTTCTACCCAAAATAATTGCTTCAATAATGTTGCCTACAATTTTTATAATTTCGTACCATATTTTAAATGGCTTTTAGTATTTTAATATCTAAATTGCATTTTTCACACTAATAATTCAATATACATTATTACTTAAGTTTATATTTGAAGTGAATTAATTTGTCAAATTTTGTTCACATGTGCTCTATTCAACCTACTATCAACAAAATTATTGCAGTAAATGGAGAGGAAAAAAGCGTACGCCCAGCTAATCTTAATCTAAAGTTCAGAAGTGAAAACGATTTGCATTTCGTCACCACCACCCGCATTAATTGGATTATAACTCTTTTAATTCTGATTTTATCATAACTTGTAATATACTATTTTAAAGATGATTAAATGAGCTACAACTTTCTCCATCATAAATTTTACCGTAACTTCTCTTATTTTGAAACGGCGAAGGGACACTCCGGTTGGACAGCCGCACTCTTTAAACAATTAGAACTCTATCGATATTTGTGTAACAAAAAATAATAAAAAGCAATAATTAGTCTAAAAAATACCTTGAATTTTCATATATATATATATATACTTTTATACGTATTCTTTCAGAGATATTATAATTAGAAATTGTTTTTTTTTTAAATTGATTTTTTTATGAAATCATGAGTTTTTTGAAAATCGTTTGTACTAATGTTATGGTATTTTCTAGAATCCATCACGATCTCTCAAACCAAGTTAATTCTAGATGGAAAACGATTATTTTTAATTTTGGTGGAAATGGCACTCATAAACTATTTGATTTAAATAAAAGAAAAACATTGTATGCGTCTTTTAATTGCATGATAGCTCACTCATTTTACACGCAGAAGTACTTCTTTTAAAGCTTATTTGGAGAACTATAAAAACCCATTTTCATAATTAACTCAATATTGTTCCTAGAACGATATAATAATTTTGTTCATTACATAATTTTCGTTAAAATGTATATTTTTGAAGATATTAGCAAAAAACGATGAAAAACGCAAAAAAACAAATTTTCAGTAGCCAGTAACTTGAAAAGTATTTGCTTTTTGAAAAACATTATTAAACATTTTTCTCTTATAATTAGTTCTTTTATCCACACCCAACGTTATTACACCACTGAAAAGAAATGGCATCCCCCCGGGTACTGCAAAGGAGTCTAAATTGTTTTCACTTTTGAACTTTATATATATATATATATTTTTTTTTTTTTCTCTCTCTATATTTGTCTTTAGTTTTTTCTTTTTATATATTAACTATAGTAGATACACCACTGGGCGTATGTACTAATTTGTAAACAACCAATTGTAAACACTTGTCAGCATTCTCTGCTAAATATAATTATTTTTATAGATTGCAGAATGAAAATAAAATAAAAAAAAAAAACTTTTGAACTTGAGAGTAAGATGAGCCTTATTCCAAAATTCCAAACGAATTGGAAAACAGTAAAAAAAGTTCAGACCCAAAGCGCTCCATTGAGTAGGTAAATATTCCGTACAAAATACCAACCATATGAATTTTTGACATAATGAAACTTCTAAATAATTTTTTGAATAAGTAATTTTTTTGTATTGTGAATTAGTATAGTAAGGCAAAACGACCGCAAATTGAATATTTTTGAGCGCAATCACTTATGGCTCGTCTCATTTGCACGAATCCGTACGGCGAATATGTTCGCGAAGTGCGCAGACAAAATTATTGCAAGCAAAAGCAAACCACGCGTACGTTGAGAACACGATTCGCCGTGCGGATTCTGAGCTGATTTTCGACAATAATAATGTAGACATTACATTTTCTTTATTTTTAATCATGAATTTATTAACTTCCCGCAAGGTAAGTTATTGTAATGGGCCGAAAATCGAAAATAAAAATTTGTACATTTCTCGACGTTTTGAAGGTTTCTGAACATTTTGGCATACCTCAGAAAAAATGGATGTGTGTGTGTGTATGTGTGTGTGTGTGTATGTATGTATGGATACAAATTTACAGTCACTTTTTCGGGCGCACGGATCAACCGATTTGAATGGTTCAAAAAACATTCGATTTTTATTGATAGGGAGAAGAGCTGTTTTTGGCAAAGACAGGTCCAGCCATTTCGGAGATACGGAGCAAAGAGTGCAGATTATAGAAATCGAGTTTTTGAGAGCACGGAGCATCCGATTTGAATGATCCAAAAAACATTCAATTAGTAATGATTGTCAAAAGTGGTTATTAGTTTTTGGCAAAGGTAGGCTTGATGATTTTGGAGATACAGAGCTAAATGTGCAAAAAATGGCAGTTTTTGAAAGAACTAAGCGTCCAATTTGAATGATTCAAAGAACTTTCTGCTTGTTTTAACAAAACAATTGATTTTGGAAAAAAAATGTTTCAAAATTTTTTTTTTCATTTTTTTTTCATTTTTTTTTTATATCGAAAATAATTCAGATTTTAATTGTAATTCTGACTAAAGTTCTAATGTACTTTAAACAAATATTTTTAACTCTGCAATTCAGTTTATATAATTCTTATAAATATTAGACAATGTTACAATATTTATAATAATCTATTTGAAAACATTCAATATTTCTCGAACATTTCGTGACGGTACGGAAAGTTCCATATTTTGTCAATACAATCAAACTGAAAGTCTTTCTATGAAAAACATGGTATAATCCAATCCAAATATTTTTTGGTATTTCGACTTTCATCACTTAGCCCATATTTTATTACAATCAAAAATGAAGACTTCCTATGAAAAACATGGTATAATTCAATCCAAGTCTTTTTTGGCCTTTTGACTTATATATTCAATTACAAATTTCAATTAATCAGATACTGATTACGTTTCAAGTATTTCATCCTTTGATAAATTCATAGCAAATTTTGCCAGTTGATTCTTCAAAATTACTGGAAAATAACCTTTAGTGAATTATATTTTACATTGCATTATAAAATGATTTAATTTAATACAAACTTCCAGAACTGAGGTTTTTTATCTTTTTCAATATGTAGAGTGATTAAATGAAACATGAATGATACCTGACTGTGTCTAAAATGCTTAGATTTTGACATATCGTTTGTAAAGAAT